CGTCCATCGATTGTGGTGTTGAAATGGTGGCTGCTGCGACGAGTACATCTTTAAGAGCTTCAGTGGAGCAGTCGATTTCGAACATATTTGCATAAATGTCAAAATATTAACATTTTTAAACAAATCGTTTTAAACATCTTTGTAGATCAATTATACCTCCATGTCAACATGGATTTATAAGGCGAAGATCTACGACGACAAACTTTTTGGAGTAACGTCTTTGGTAATAAATGGCTTCAAAAAGAACATGCAGACTGACGTAGTTTACACTGATTTTAGTAAAGCGTTTCATTCAGTAAATCACTCGCTTCTTGTATTTAAGCTAGACTTATTAGGGTTTCCATGCGATTATCTAACATGGATCTTAAGTTATCTTTGAGGTAGGACTCAACGAATCCTCTTTAAAAGCTCTATCTATAATTTGATCCTAGTTAATTCAGGCTTCCCACAAGGAAGCCACCTTGGCCCACTTCTTTTTACTTTATTTATTAACGATCTCCCTCTAGTCTCCCAAAGTCGCGTGTCCTCATGTACGCAGATGACGTTAAGTTATGTCTGCAATATAATTGCCAGCAGTTCTGACTTACAATCGGACCTAAATTCTTTTCAAACATGGTGTTGAGAAAATCTCTTGGTTTTAAATAGCGCTAAGTGAATGTAATGACATTTTTTAGGGTGAAAGCACATATGCCACGTATATGCTGGGTGGTGATGCGTTGTCTAGAATCTCGCATTAACATGATCTTGGCGTCCTTCTTGATCCAAAACATAAGTTTTGTGACCATATTACATCCATGGTGAATAAAGCCAGGGGAGTACTTGTATTTAATAAAAGGTGGTTGACGCCGCTCAAACGACGGTCACTGGGAGTTGCCTTTAACCCGATATACCGCACCGAAACAAGAAATAGCCAGATCTTGTAGCGTAAAATGGTATTGAACAGACGGATTTTATTCTGTAGGAATATTACAAGTTTATGATTTATCCCTACATATATAAGTTAACATTACCGCAGTCTCGCCTCCCAGCTTCTCTGACCTCGTTGATTGGAATAACTTGGAAGCGGGAAGCTTGGCTTTTCCTAACTTCCAGCTGTGTGACCGCATTCACTAAACAGCGAGAATCCTCAACCGGTTACATTGAACTAAATATAATCTCTAATTTGTGGCGCTACATTTGAATTGCCCGACAATCGATAATTGGGTTAATCCGTTCCGCGACAGTGGTCAAAGGAATTCGATGATCCCTATGTTACGAGACTTTTTTCATTTCACTAGTCCGTCCAATCCAGGAGTACCGTTCACCAATTTGGATTCCTCAGTATGGTGTACTAATGTGGGCAAAAAGTAAGGTGACTTTGTTTGTAAAGTGAAAATTCTTTATTTATTCTTCTGAATCAATTTCATCCCCTTCATAGTAATCCCCTTCCGATAAAAAAAAAATTATGCCAACGTTTTTTTAAAACCTCGAAACAGGCCAAATAGTCCCTTTCCGGTATAGCCATAAGCGCCCTCGTCGATTCCGCTTTTATCTCTTCAATCGACTCGAAACGCGTTCCCCGGAGTGGTCTCTTGAGTTTTGGGAATAGCCAGAAGACACACGGAGCCAAATCAGGAGAATACGGTAGTTGCGGATCGATATGCGTCGAATTCTTGGCGATTTGTGTGCAGAAATTGAGCGTTTTCGGTACCAAACGAGATTTGACTTTTCGTAGGCCCAAATGGTCTTTCAAAATGGTTTTCACATATCCTTATGATATTCCGATCATATCAGTAAGGTCTCTAACAGTCAACCGACGATTTTTGAGCACTAATTCCTTCACTTCATTGACGTGTTGGTCATCTGTTGACGTCGATGGTCGTCCGGAGCGCTCCGAGTCATCAACACGTTCCCGACCCTCTTTAAAGTCTTTGTACCACTTATAAACATATTTCTGGACATGGTAGAATCACCAAAGGCCTTCCGCAACATCCTCAACGTTTCCGCAGCCGAAATTTCATTCCGCAGAAAAAATTTGACGGCATTCCCCGCTCAATTAAATCAGACATTGTAAAAATCGACAAATGCACTCTTGATCGTTTGGTAAACACAAGCGTAAATATAGTACTGATACTGACATTGACATGAAATTACCGCCAGATGTCATCAACAGTCCTGCCAACTCAAGAAAAAAAGAACTAGTCCGCCATATTAAGCCCGCGAATTTTAATATTTTATTATTTTACCATCCTACTCTAGTAGACTTCTCTTAATTAATCTACCATCTTTATTAAACCGTAGAACGATGCTTGGCACTACTTTTATTCATAAACTTATTAACGGGGGTGCGGAGAGTCCCGAGTTACTGGGTCGCCTAAACTTCTCTGTGCCTAATAGAATTACCAGGAACTTTATTCTTCTTACTATGATATGCGTGAACCTTTTAGAGTACTGTGTAGTGACTATAATAGACTATATCAGACTATTTCTACTACCGATTCTTAAAATCTTAAAAGCATTAACTTTATCTTATTTAGCACAAAATTAGTATTAGTATTTTGTTTCGTATGCATTCTAATTTAGTCTGTCCGTTTCCTTTTTCACTTCGCGCGATCTCGTTTTTTTACGCCCTTTTGGGAATAGGTTTGCGCTGATCATAGTGCATACAAAAAATATTAGCCTAGTACTCAGATCGACAAACGTGTTCGCTAGCGGAAAAACTTTAATCTCTCCAGTGTGACCAAAATTTCGAGAGTTCATCCGAACTGAGCGTACTACGGCCTAACTGTCAATCTGCTGATTTGTTAAAACTAAACAAATTTACAAGCGTAAAATTGGTTGTCGGCATGCATTGTGGCAATAGAGGCAACAATTATCTAAACATAAATATTGTATATGTCCACGTTAACAAATAATAATGTACAATTATGACTTACTATCTTTATCCATTTCACAGGCTATTTCCTCATACGTTATTTTTATAAAGCTAGCATGTTTTTTATTTTACAAATACCAAGTCCCATTCTGCTTGACATATCTTTATCTCAAGTAAACCATGTTCAAAATTCACTAGGTCGCCTACTTAATTTGTGTTTTGTATCAAATCCTGTGTTTCTGTCCAGAGTAGCACCACTCACGCAACCTGAAATGCAAAGTCCAGACTTTTTAGGAAATATACAAATACCGGTTCTCAATCTGTTTTTACTAGATATTTAGGTGCTCGGTCAAGATTTAGGTGCTAATGACTCTTTATCGGGTCAATCCGATATACGCGACATACACGTTAAGTAGCAGCTCTTTGGATAGAATAACTCTTGTAAACGATCTTGGCGCCTAAACTGGGATGCAAATCTTAACTTACCTTCTTATTCTAGTAGACTTCTGTTGATTAATTTACCCTCCCTAGCCAACCGTAGAACGATGCTACTGCCTTTATTTATATATGGTGAGATTGACAGTCGGATAAACTTTTGTGCCAAGTAAATTAACTAGAAATAATATTCCCCTAATATTAAATCATTATAGATCTAACTATGCTTTGCATGAGCAGAGTATTATGTTCTGAGTATAATATACTTTTTTTTATAATCTCAAATCTTGATTCTCTGCCGCTCCTAAAACGATTAATACTAACTTCAATGGCACACAATTTATCTTAATATTACTTTTTTCCCCGGACTTTTACCTATATTTTCTTATCTCGCGTCTATCTTCTCGAGAATTTTGCTGCGATACACGACTGCGTTCCTCGGTCGGTTGAGTGGGTAAGTGGGACTCCACGCGAAAAAAAAAATTCTGGGCAGAACTCCACTGATCGTATTAATGTTGTTTTTTCCTGCAATTGACTTTTGCGGGTTTTTTTATTTTTTCTATCCATTTTTTAAAATGTTCCCTGAGAAGCGCACGCCAAAAGTGAGGTGAAAAAAAAGACTGACGAAAAGTGCCCGCCAGCTGTTTGACGAACAGTTTCGCCGATCTGACACGAGGCTATACAAAAAATCGTTATATAGTCGTTTTATACTATAATTACTATAAAATACTATAAAATGTCGGTACAACCAAAACAAACCAAAATTGATGTTGTTTTACTCAAAAAAGGAGCTAAAAAAAATCTTTAATCCTCCATTAAATTCATTTGATAAAAATGTTTGCAGTTGGGAAAACGATGACTCTTTAGCTTTTAGAAAGCGTATGATGAGTGCCTTTTGCAGCTGTTAACGTAGACAACGTACATTAAAAATACGGAAAACATTAAAATCTGCAGATCTTTTTAACTTTCTTAAAGGTATTCCAGTCGAAGAAATAAAAACAACTTTGGTTTTATGTGTAAAAGAAACTTTTCTGAAGTAAATGATGGATTTCATTTTGTAATCTGGAGTATTATTATATGTGGAACTTATCTTTAGCTGCTAAAGAAAACGAAGAATTTAGTAAGTCAAATTCAAGATTCACCAGTTAAAAGAATATTAGTTGCAGTGGTCCAAGAAATTCCCACCGAGGTTCAAAAATTATTACTGTTCAAATTAATAAATCGTTTATCAGTCTGATGTAAATTCTGTATTTATTTTGCACTCCGTTTTTTAAAACAAAATAATCGGTGTGAGCAAGGATTTCTTAAGAAAATTTGTGATGATTTAAATGCGAATTAAAATGGTGATCAATTTCAAATCTATGACATGAATATTAAGTTCATCACTATTTTGTATGGAAATTCATCGATGAATCACGGGCAATAATACATTTTCGGCGACTGCAGGGTAGGATCATCTTAAGCTGGCGGAGCACAGAGTTGGTGAAGATCAAAGAGAGTAAGGATGCTCCCAGCAGTGCGAACGAGATGTTGACATCTAAAGGAATCTTAAGAATTTAAATGCCTATTTGGTGTTGGCACGCACAACCATTTATGTATGAATTGTTCACCTATCAATTTTAGTTATAACCGAGACCCTCACTTATCTCAAATTAAAAATATAATGTTAATTTTATTTCTTATATACTTGTTTTCTCTAATCCCATTTCAGGTCAAAAAAATGTAACTGCAAATATGCAAAAGTCAAAATCATTATCTAACGTGGGACAATTTGTTACTAAAAAAATATGGCGAGGTCGTTCCAAAAGCCAAAATAGGCAAAATATATCTAATGATACTACACCTTTACCTGCTCTAAAATGGTATCCATCGGTGAGAAAATTAAATTGTCATGTAATAATAAAGCCAAAGCTATTAAAACATTTTCAGGAACATTTTGTATGGATTTCAGAGTCTGGCGAGAGATTTAAAATTTCGGAAACTTTACTGATAAATTTGTCTAAAACAGAATCAGACTTAGTGCAAGAGTTTGCCCTGGAAAAAATAAAGGAATTTAATTTTGGAAATATTGAAGGTTAGTTTTTTTCCACACCTGGAACTATTTTAAAATTACTGTCGAACTTTATTTTAATGATCTTCGAATGTGCTTACTTTTTGCAACCCTATAATTTGCAATAGAAGAGTCCAACAAAATGAGACCAACAAAAAAAACCAATACTTATTTAATAAATGTTAACATTTTTTTTCGATGTGGAGTTAGCCTTTACTAACTATTATTTTTTACCTTTTCTTATTTTTAGTTTTAAGAAAATACACAATTAGTGTTACGAAAATAATATTTAATTCTTCTTGAACTCCGTTATGCGACGTCATCGGGGTTCACATCTAAGACCTCCACAAAGTATTCCCTAGTACGTGCAATATATACATTTTATTAGTTATGCATAATATAAGTCTGGGACAAACTCTCGTTCTCCAAGGTGTTCTGCTACATGTTGTGGATGCGGTTTCCACATATGAAAGAGTGGAGCAATTCGAAATTATGGCACACGGATGGAGCTCCACCGCGTGGCCCCTTTTTAATTTTTGTCGCATCAAAGTTAGCTGAACTTCTTGGCCATGTTTTCCATTTTTGTTCGGACATCTGTGTAGGTCAAGAAGAAAAACTCAGAGTTGCACCGAAAACATATAGCCTAACTATCGCATCCGTCCAATTTGGATGGGGAACGTAATGGGAAATTTTCGGAACGGCAAAACCTTATGGACCATCCGTTCAACGTATGGTGGATGGGTCTCGAACTCCATTCTCCTGCTTGTGTGAATAATATGGCGACTCACTTTCTATTGGTGTACATATACCTGATTTAGCTTTCCACATTGGATATCGTTTGCTGTTTGGAAAGAGATGCTGCAAATAGGATAGTTGAGATCGATTAAATTCATCCTCTAAGGCTGTGCGTAGAAGATGGTTTGCTGTTTTAAGCCGCTCCTTCGAGGCTGGCGATCTATGGGCTTGCCACTCCCTCCGAAGCCTTCGCCTTATGCGTAGCAGTTCGTTAATATGCCCAGAAGCCCGACAGTTGTTATCAGGCTTACAAGCCGGTATGATAGGGGTAGAGTGTTGTGCAGCTATTGAAATTACAGACATTAGTTCTTCAACTGAGCTGTCAATCTCTTCTTTTTGGTGCATGTTTGGGAAGCCATTAATATGGGTGCTTACGTACTTTCTGAATTTAAGCCAATCTGTTTTATGGGAGATTAGAACATATATGCGTTCTGAAAGCTGTAGATGATCGTATAGATGGAGTAAAAGTGACGAGTTACGTGTTCCACGTGGACATGATCTCTAGCTAGTCTTCTTGAGACGGCAAATTCAAGCAAGTCAGGCTTCTTATTAGGATCTGTTGGCCAATATGTAGGCTTACCAGGAGAGAAAAGACCAAGCTTGTTTCTTGTTGTTATTATAGCGTTGTACAGCTGTCTTCCTTTGGGGTTGGTGAGTCGAGAGCCCTAGTGGTTGTGTTTTGCATTGTAATTACCAGCCGCTTAAAAATGGTCACCTAATAGGTCAAAGAACTGTACAAATGTATCTTTGGAAATGGAAAAGCGTGGAGGGCAGTATTAAGCGGATAAGTTTAAGAAACCGCTTCTGGTATCGATGTGTATTGATGACAGGCTGTTGCAAATAATGGCAACTCACAGTGCCTAGTCAACTTTTCAACTCTTTATAGATAGGACAGACTCTGTAATTTGCAGTGTGGTTTCCCGCACTATTACTACATTTTTTGGCAGAGTGGTTCTCCTTGTTTATAGGGCAGGCCTCAGTTGAATGTGCATCCCTGCAGTAACTTTTCGTGTGGCCGTATTCCTGACAATTCATGCATTGCATAGGCCAATTCCGCTTATGGGGTTCCTCAACGGTGATCCTACGCTTCCACGGCTGTTTTTGTGATGTGCCGCTTGGAGCCGGGAGAGAGCGAGCGTGCTCTCTCCGTAATCGCTTGCAGTGTTGCAGTTGTTGCCGGTTCTGTTAACTCTTCCGCTCTTATGGAGAAGTAAGCGTTATTTCTGATTGACGAGAGCCGACGTTCGTCTTGTTGTTGCTGCCGATTCTTGCTCATTATGGCTTTTCGTTACAGAGCTTACGCTCTTACCCGTTGCCTTTATTTGTAACAAACTGTATTATCACATAGCTTAGTAATTAGAACACTTAGTAATTGATCATTTCCAAAGCACATGAGCACAGGTACCCATGCGTACATTCTGAGCGTCTTTTCGCGAAATAGAATTCGGCTAATTGTGGTGTATTTTTAGTTTCGCGGCGGAGCGATATAAAAACAAGACTGTTGTCATTGACAGTTATCAATCATCAAGACACTTATGAAAGCACAATTCATAACAAGCAACATTTGTCCAACATCCAGAAGTTCCATCACATGAAAACACTTCTTGTTGATGAAGCTGCCAACTTGATACGGCACTTGGCCATTACGGATACAGCTTACAACACCGCTTGGAAACGTCTAAAAGAAAGATACAATCGTCCACGGCACATTGTAAACTCATTTTTGGAGCAGCTTATGAGCCTACCAACAACTACAAAGGTTGATACATCAATTCTAGGGAAGGTGTCAGACGGAGCAAACGAAATTATTCGCGGATTGGATGCAGTCAACCAGATGAGACGCGATTGCTGGATCATCTATCTGGGCCTGGAGAAACTTGACGCCGACACGCGGCGCAGGTGTATTGAGCGCAGCATGGATACAGACTCCTCCATGGTTTATGTTAAAAACGCAAAAGGTGACAACGTAACATGCCGTCTCTTATTGGACACAGGCTCAGAGCTTTCCTACGCATCCGAGCGTTGCATTCAAGCTCTCGGATTGACACGTTCGGCATCAGGCATCTTGGTTACGGGAATCTCTTCGGTGAAAGCAGACACGACAAGGGGATGCAGCACCTTGCATATCAAGTCTCGTATATCCGAGGATCATTTGGTTGTCTACTCCCACGTGCTAAGCGAAATTAATTCTTCGCTGGAACGCCAAAACATCGATGCATCGGCCTTCGAGGTATTCAAGGATCTGCAGTTGGCGGATACTGAATTCAACACAAACTCACCTGTTGAAATTCTATTGGGAAGCGAACATGTATGGGCAGTGCTTACAGGACGAAAGATGTATGTCAACAAGGGTAATCTTATCGCCATTTCTTCGGTGTTCGGATGGGTAATAACCTCACTCATCACATCGAATCCAAGCAACCCTATTGCACTAACTACAACAGTGGACATCTTCAGAAGTTTTCGGAATTGGAAAACGTTCAAAGCAGCGAAAAACTGGAACCGGAGGATGATCAAGAAGCCGAGAAGCACTTTCTCGCCACTCACAGTCGCTATGAAAACGGGATCTTTAAATCGGTTGAGCTGCGGCTGCAACAGAAAGACCAATGGCGTACACAGTACGTATACTTTATGCAGAAAACACAATTCTGAGGTGCCACCTGAGGAAAACGCTACTGGAAATCAGTTTTATCTACACACCACCCAATGCTGGGTCGGAAGCTACGAGTAGTTTTCGATGGATCATTTCACGATGCCAATAGAAAGGCTTTTAATGGCACAATGTTTACAGGTCCTAGTATCCAGCGCGATCTATTCGCTGTGTAATGTAAAAATGTGCATTCTCAGCGGATATCGTAAAAATGTTCCGCCAGATATGGGTCAACGAAAAGCACAGAAACTTCCAGAAAATCGTTTGAAGAAAAGATCCATCCGATCCCATAAAGCACTTCCAATTGTGCACTGTAACATACGGAACAACTTGCTGTAGATCATTAAGAGGAATACCCAAATGCGTCGAAAATCCTGCTGGAGGATTTCTATGTAGATGACGTTCCTACTGGGTCAAACAGTGAGGATGAGCTACTTCGGAACCGAATCGAGCTGATTCAGCTGATGTCTCGTGCAAATCTTGAACTCGGGAAATGGGTATCCAATACTCCATGTATACAAACGGATGACAGCGACACACAATCTGCTCAAACGTCAACAGTAAATGTTCTCGGACTGTATTGGCATCCTGGAAAAGGCATTCTGTCGTACAATGTCGGTCTAGCCAAGTCTTGTCCGACGTCTCGAGGATATTTGATCGTCTCGGACTCTTGGCACCCATTGTAATTCAAATCAAAATCCTTTTCCAAAACCTATGGCTCTTGAATTTGGATTGGTATGGCCCACTCCCAACTAAACTGGCGGACAACTGGCTAAAGTGGAGAGCAGATCTGGAAAACCTTTAAACATTCCAACTACCACGATTTGTCGCCAACGACCCGGACAACATCGAACTTCACGGATTTTCGGTGGTGTACAGCAGAGTCACAAATGACGATGGCTCTATCTCGGTATCCATTGTGGCTGCGAAAACAAGGGTGGCTCCACTGAAGCAACAATCCTTGCCACGTCTGGAACTATGCGCAGCACTTCTCCTCTGCCAACTGATTCGCTCCATCACATCTGGACTCATCAATAGTGCTCACCTGGTTATCGTATACGCCAGCCCAACTCAAGACATTTGTTAGAAACAGAACCTCGGAAATCCTTGACACTATTCCAAGGAGTGCTTGGCGTTATGTAGATTCCAAAACAAACCCAGTTGACTGTGCGTCTTGATGGCTGCTGATCTCATCGACTTCCATTTGTGGTGGAATGGGCCTTTATGGCTACGAGACAAGGTGCAGTATCTGGTAAAGTTAAACGACTTACGTTTCGGTTTATCTGTTACAGACAAACGCATTCAAGGAGAAGTCAAATCCAACTGTTTGGCTGCACTGGCTGAAGCAAGTCCGGTTCATCCACTTGATGAACTAACCGAGCGAATGTCTTCTTGGATCAAGCTCGTCCATATTGTCGGCTACGTGAAGCGATTCATTCAACGTACACGAAACCTGTCTCGCAAAAGGGTATCTAGCGCTCTTACATTTGATAAAATTAATGAGGCAAGGATTCTGTGCATAAAACAAGCACAAGGTTGTTTCAAAGACGATTACCAATTGCTCCTCGGTAAAAAACCC